TAAGAAAATTTTATTTATTTATTTATTTATTTATTTATGCATATACAAGAATGTACATAAGGAATGTGAGGATACAATTATGGTAATTACAGTCTTGTAAAGCCACTAGCACGCGCAGCGTTTCGGGCAGGTCCTTAATCTAAGAAAATTTTAAGGAGGTAAATACTTGCAAAATTTATAGACAAAAAAATGATAACAGATTAATTACATGGAATGAAAAAAAAAGATGAGAGAAAATTATAGGTACAGTATAATATATTAAAGCACATAGGTAGCTAAGATTGATTGCAATGACAGCTTAAAATGGTAGTTGACAAAAATTGGTAGTCACAATACAGCATATGGCTAGCACATAAAAGAAGACAGCAATGAACACAATGATAAGGTTGTTTGATATTACATAAAAATTAGGAGATTGGGTACCAACTAGGTACAGAGCAAATTTAAAGCTCAGTGTAGGAAACTAAATAGATGAAGTTAGGTACTTTTTGGTTTTGCTTTTAAATAAGGCAAAAGTTTTACAGTTTTTCAATTCACTAGGGAATGAGTTCCATAGACTAGGTCCCTTAATTTGCATAGAGTGTTTACACAGATTAAGTTTGACCCTGGGGATATCAAAGAGATATTTATTTCTGGTGTGGTGAAAATGGGTCCTATTACATCTGTCCAGGGAGAGTTTCAGAGCATGGTTTGCATTTAAGAACAGGGTTTTGTAAATGTAGTTGACACAAGAGAATGTGTGGAGGGAGTTAATATTTAGCAAGTTTAGGGATTTAAACAAGGGAGCTGAGTGTTGTCTGAAAGCTGAGTTAGTTATCATTCTGATAGCAGATTTTTGCTGTGTGATGATGGGCTTATCACACAGCTTGTGGCTTGTGTGGAGGCCTTCACACTCCCTGAGCGAGCCATCAAGTAACTATAAAAAGGCATATATCTTAACTTTCAATTCAGTTATATTTATGCCAAAGTATTAACATGCAGCTTATATTTATGTCTTTATGATGACATAGAAAACTTCGTTTATTACAATATCTAGATTAAATTAACATTGATCTTCGGAAGGTCATAGTTCCCATATCGGTAAGGAGAGCGTCGGCCATGAAGCCTTGTTTAAAGTATGAATATTTTTCCTCTCTAATAAGGTATAATCTCTGTGATGGATTCACAAAAACTATTTTATATCTGCCTTTCTGATAACATATACAAATATAATCTTTATTTGTGAATATTTGTTAATTAAGCAATATATCAGAGGGCGTGTAGGGTTCGGTGTTCAATGAACGAAAAGGACTGGATCACTGTGTACAGGAGGCTGATATGGCAGCAAACACTCTCCTGGCGACCATATTTCTTGGATAAGTCGCTCCACACAATTGTCGCTTGGACCGTCGACTTCCTATGGCGTCACCTCTCACATATTTACGTCTCATTTCGTTATGAAATTAGATTATTTCAGAGAAAAAATAGGTTTGATCATGTTCTACGTGTAGCACCAACATTATAGTAAGTAAATATACCATATTTCTTCATTACTTACGTAATGCTAATACGTTTTGGGTAGTTTTGGCCTGATTTGGGTGATTGGGGTAATTCTATGGACCGGGAACGGGTGACAACTATGGTGGTAACTCCAACACATTTGGAAAACAAAACTGTACCATGTAGGCGTTGAAGCAGAGGAGTTCCACCGGCCATTGCAGCATGGTAGGTAGATGGAAGACCCAAAAACGTGTGTATTTGTGTGGGTGATTAGATATGTATGTGTATGTATATATGTATACGTATATATATATATGTACATGTATGTATGAGAGTGTGACATGTATATATAACATTAATAATTTTGTAACTAGAGTCAAAAATTTTTATTTGCTTAGCTAAACGAACTAGAGAGTTCAGTTCCTGAACCGATTATGTGCCTCTGTAACCCTTTACACCACCGCCCACGGGATGGGTATAGGGTGCATAATAAAGAAAGAAATTGAATTGAATTGGTATAAGTTCATCAATATCATCCATCACACAAGATGGATTAGTCATATATGGAGTCAGGAGAGACTAACAATGATGAGACGAGCTATATAGACTAAATTAAATGAAATTAAATAAAAAATTTTATTCAGGAAAAGTACATACATACTTTTATATATATATACAAGTATGTATGTACGTACATATTGTATATACTATGAATAATTGTTATAATAAACAATTACGATTTTATTAATTGTAATTTGATTTAAAATATTTAATAAATAAGTCCCCCCATTGCAAAGTCCAGTTTTCTTTCTAGCTTGGATTGTTTTTATTTAAAAGAATATGTGTACAAAGAACAATTGTAGAATCACTGATGGAAACCACTATTACGCTAAGAGTTTCAAACAAAAATTAAAATAATATAAAAAAATAACTAATGGTGTGAGGTGGTAAAACATTTAATACTAAAAGAGAAGTAAGCTAACAAATTGAGAACGTTGACGGGCAGATAACAAATGAATACGATAAAGGGGGATACTTAAGGATGCCATAGACTATATTACATTATGGAGTGAATAGTTTTAGCAACAGTACAGTAGTGTATTTATATGAATAACAATGGGAATACAAGGTGTAATTTAAAAAAAAAAATGGACTCTTTCTCATCAAATTGAATTCCCATATAAAAATAAAAAATAAATAATGACGCAAACAGATGCTTAAATTTTTCTACTGCCGCCCAAAGAATATGTAAAAGAGGAATTAAATAAATAAATGTTAATGCATAATTGAATGCATAAAACAAAACAAAAAAAACGCATTTAACTTTAGTTGTTAAAATGTTGACTATAATAATAATAATATTATTTTATTTTAGGAAATGTTTCCAATTTATTATATGTTTCTCTGATAATGAACAATGAACGTCATGTTTTGTTGATCTTAGCTGTTTTTTATTTACCATTTGAGGCGTGATAGTTTATTTTTGTCTATTGGTTTTATTTGAGCGGGTGTGGCAGTAGTGTGGTAGTGTGTGGCGCAGCACCACACTGTGGTGGTGGTGGTGGTGGTGTGGCGTCATGGCTGCTTCTCCTCTCCTCTCTCACAACCCACATGTGTTTCTTGATGTTAAAATTGGAGAAGAAATTGGTAAGTGTTGTTGGGAGGGAGGTCTGGTGTCCCTGGTGTAGGGGGTGTTGTGTCCCCTGGCTGGTGTAGGGGGTGTTGTGCCCCCCTGGCTGGTGTAGGGGATGTTGTGTCCCCCTGGCTGGTGTAGGGGTAGTTGTGTCCCCCTGGCTGGTGTAAGGGGTGTTGTGCCCCCCTGGCTGGTGTAGGGGGTAGTTGTGTCCCCTGGCTGGTGTAGGGGGTGTTGTGTCCCCTGGCTGGTGTAGGGGGTGTTGTGTCCCCCTGGCTGGTGTAGGGGGTAGTTGTGTCCCCTGGCTGGTGTAGGGGGTGTTGTGTCCCCCTGGCTGGTGTAGGGGGTGTTGTGTCCCCCTGGCTGGTGTAGGGGGTGTTGTGTCCCCCTGGCTGGTGTAGGGGGTGTTGTGTCCCCCTGGCTGGTGTAGGGGGTGTTGTGTCCCCCTGGCTGGTGTAGGGGGTGTTGTGTCCCCTGGCTGGTGTAGGGGGTGTTGTGTCCCCTGGCTGGTGTAGGGGGTGTTGTGTCCCCCTGGCTGGTGTAGGGGGTGTTGTGTCCCCTGGCTGGTGTAGGGGGTGTTGTGTCCCCTGGCTGGTGTAGGGGGTGTTGTGTCCCCTGGCTGGTGTAGGGGGTGTTGTGTCCCCTGGCTGGTGTAGGGGGTGTTGTGTCCCCCTGGCTGGTGTAGGGGGTGTTGTGTCCCCCGGCTGGTGTAGGGGTGTTGTGTCCCCTGGCTGGTGTAGGGGGTGTTGTGCTCCCCTGGCTGGTGTAGGGGGTGTTGTGTCCCCTGGCTGGTGTAGGGGGTGTTGTGCTCCCCTGGCTGGTGTAGGGGGTGTTGTGTCCCCCTGGCTGGTGTAGGGGGTGTTGTGTCCCCCTGGCTGGTGTAGGGGGTGTTGTGTCCCCCTGGCTGGTGTAGGGGGTGTTGTGTCCCCTGGCTGGTGTAGGGGGTGTTGTGTCCCCTGGTTTGGTGTAGGGGGTGTTGTGTCCCCCTGGCTGGTGTAGGGGGTGTTGTGCCCCCCTGGCTGGTGTAGGGGGTGTTGTGTCCCCTGGCTGGTGTAGGGGGTGTTGTGCTCCCTGGCTGGTGTAGGGGGTGTTGTGCTCCCCTGGCTGGTGTAGGGGGTGTTGTGTCCCCTGGCTGGTGTAGGGGGTGTTGTGTCCCCCTGGCTGGTGTAGGGGGTGTTGTGTCCCCTGGCTGGTGTAGGGGGTGTTGTGTCCCCCTGGCTGGTGTAGGGGGTGTTGTGTCCCCCTGGCTGGTGTAGGGGGTGTTGTGCCCCCTGGCTGGTGTAGGGGGTGTTGTGCCCCCCTGGCTGGTGTAGGGGGTGTTGTGCCCCCCTGGCTGGTGTAGGGGGTGTTGTGTCCCCCTGGCTGGTGTAGGGGGTGTTGTGTCCCCCTGGCTGGTGTAGGGGGTGTTGTGTCCCCCTGGCTGGTGTAGGGGGTGTTGTGCCCCCTGGCTGGTGTAGGGGGTGTTGTGTCCCCTGGCTGGTGTAGGGGGTGTCGTGCCCCCCCCCCCTGGCTGCTACGAGGGGTGTCGTGTCCCTACCATCTCAGATTTTCATGAAATTTGGTATAAGACGTGAAGTAACTTACAAAAGCAAATTTGTAGTGCTCAGTAATGCACAATATTAATACAGCAGGGTTGCCAGTGTGAAATAGTAGTACTGTATTATATTTTTGCTTAAAGCTCAACGAAAAATTCATAAATTTACATCTAATTGAGGTACAGTACATAAAACCTTTGAATTGTGCTAATTGAATTAAAGCTAAGAAAACGTTTTATTATTAAAAATAGTTTTACTTTAAATATTGAATTTTTTCATTTCAAGATTGTATGACATAACCTTTGACCCCTGAATACTGTATTCATTATATATGTTGATACATATCTCAAAGTATGTAATAAAATTGCTTCACTCCACTTCTGCTTTTTAATGAGCTGCAAATAAAAAAATACATGTATATTTATAGCATAGCATACACGGACTGGTACTGTACTCCGAAAGTTAATGCTATGTACAAATTTTTATTCGCAGTAGCACAACTACTTCCCTGTAACAATTATCAAAAGGAATATTACAAATTATATATTAGGCATACTATATTGGTAATAAATTGTAATATTTCAGTTGGGCGAATTGTGTTGGAGCTTTTTGCCGATACGTGTCCCCGAACAGCGGAGAACTTCCGGGCTCTTTGTACAGGGGAGAAGGGTATTGGCAAGAAAAATCTTCCCTTACACTTTAAAGGATGCACCTTCCATCGAAGTAAGCATGATAATATTATCTTGTTTTCTGTAAAGTTTTAAATTGAAAAATTAATGTGAATGAAATAATTTTGATACCTGCTAACAATGCCTCTTTCTGTTCAGCAGTTTTCTTTATAGTAATCTAGAATAAGAGTAGCAACACTCAAGGGGTTTACCAAGTAAAACATTTTGTTTTTAAGAGGGATCCTTACACATTGGGTCATTTGAAGTAGATACAGTAACATTATATCATAAAGAGTCGGATCTAACGGCAAGATTTGTTAACATTAGTAACTTTTGTAACAGCTTGACAACTAGTACAATGCAGGGATACCTTTACTTTAATAAAGAGTGTCACACAATAGCTATGCAACTATACACAGCAGGAATCATTTTCCACAGTACACCTGCAAGGAGGTATTGGGTCTCGATCCTCTTGACGAGTATAATGTTGACAAATAAATGTTTTGCTCCTGCATTTTCTCAGGTTTGATCCCCTTCCCGCATCAAAGTGGGATGATAATGATTATATTCTTATGTAACAAAATTTAGACTTTAATTCACTCCTCTTTAATTTAATTCAATAATTCTTATCATTTTTCAGTTATGAATGTTGACTTAAGCTTTCCTTTATCATTAAATTTTTAGGAGATGCTATGGTTGATTCTTTATTTGCTGGTTTTACCTTAATAACAGCGGTGTATGGTTGAAGGGTACACAGATAAAACATTATCTAAGAGTAAAGTATTCACATTTGGTGTTTCGCTACTCAGTACTGTATAGTATAAAACTTTTATTTCCAGTTATCGAACATTTTATGATACAAGGAGGGGACTTCACGGACCACAATGGCACGGGTGGTGAAAGCATTTATGGGGATAAATTTGAAGATGAAAACTTTAAGCACAAGCATTCCTCGGCGGGAGTTCTCTCCATGGCTAATGCTGGCCCAAACACAAATGGTTCTCAATTTTTTATTACTCTATCGGATACTCCCCACCTGGATGGGAAGCACGTGGTCTTTGGTCGTGTAATTAAGGGCCTGGGCGTTACAAAGATCTTGGAGAAGGTGAAGACAGATGGTGATAAACCAGTTGAGGTATGTATTTTATTAACAGATTTAGGTAAACTTCCTTTACTCATTCATTCCTCTAAATTCTCCCTGGTATGTATGGGTGTTGTATTCATAATGGCATTCTTTTGATTTTATTAGTTTGGTTCATTTGATATGAAAAGCTGGGCAGTTTATTTAAATATTCCTTATTCTTTAGTGAATTTTTGTACAGTTTAGGTTGAAAAAATTTGAATTTTCAAAGTGACATGTAACTCTATTTAGAATACTTTTGCAGTTTCTCAGGTGTCTATATTTGCATGTTCCATTAGTTCTTCTTGAAAGCCCATATTTACAAACACTCCATACAAAATATTGGCAGGTACCAGATTCATGCTTTGTTGAAATATCTTGGTTTATCCCTAATACACTATGTTGGCTCTTTGCAGAGAGATTTAAGCCGAGAACTTTCAGATTCCTGTTATTGCTTGGTCATTTCCTTAACTATTTCTATTACTACTGTTTCTCTGATCAGCTAATACTTTCAGATTAAAGGATTAGCTGATCATCAAACAGATTAAACAAGTCTTGCCTCATTCTTGATTGAGGAAATTTATTGACAAGTTTGAAATGAAAACTGCTTTTTAAAAAAATGGCAAAGTGGCATTAAATTTCAGAAGTATCCTTTTCCTTTTAGGGAATGAATGCACAGGATTTGACAATGAACATCTGATACATGAACTATTTCAAGCCAGAATGTTAATGGAACATAAATTTGTAGGCATTTAATAAAACTTTGCATTCCTTGAATCTTTTGAAGATGCCTCTCACTTGTGTGTTGTCAGGATAACAATGTCTGTGTAGCGCTACATGTGAACGTTTTCCATTGATTGTAAAGCTAATAAAGTTAACCTGCACAACATAATGAGTGATATGAAGTTCAGCAATTCCAAGATTGCTCTTCTAAAGAACAGGCAAGTTGTACTAGGTAATATATATTGTGATAATTCCACCTTCCCTCGCCCTTTAGTCCCAAAAGTACTGTACGAGTACTTTCCTTCTCGATGGCCCCCATCCCCTTCCCCCACCTACATAACTTGCTATTATTACTAACAAAAATATGGGCAGCATGATTAGGTTAACTTGGGAAAGGTATCTGGTATAATCACAGAATATAGATAGCTCAGATGAGGCCTTTAGTGGACGGAGGACAGAGTACTCCATTCCTCATGTGTGGTGTTCGTAGTAGAGCACTTTTCATATTAGGCATGGCTACAGAATACAAAGGTTAAACCTTTGGAAAGTGAGAGTACAGTACCCATTGTACGTCGACCAGGCCTGAAGCCTGGTCGACGACCGGGCTGTGGGGTCGCTAAGCCCGGAATCACCTCGAGGTAAGGTATCCACTAGTTAATTAATTCAGATTATTGATTTAAAATGCCAAAGGTGATATTTTGAGTTAGAAAACTGATAATTAGAATGTTTCTTTATAGTCTAGAAATGTACATTTAATCATTGGCATATTTTCAATTTCAGAGGTGTGAAATATATGATTGTGGAGAATTCAAACCAGGTGATGCTTTTGGAATTATTGATGACGATGGCACAGTGGACATCTACCCGCAATTCCCAGATGATTCGGACATCAATTTTGACGAGGCCACTGTAAGTTTAATTATATTAGGATTTGTTTTCCAGCCTCTGCAGAAGGAATAATGGTCTTTGTAAGGGATCTAATAACGCTAAAGAAGCATTTTTAACCTCATTGTAATACTAACCATTTCTCTGTAGAACCTTGACTTCAAAAAGTGCCAGGATGTGAATTGATAACAAATTCGTAAATTGTTGAGAGAAAATATAGTTGAGACGCTTTCAGATTATTTTACTTTTAGGGCATTAAAATTGGAACCCATGTTTCAGATGGTGGAGTTGACCAAGATTATCAACAATATCAAGGATGCAGGGAACACTTTCTTTAAAAAGCAGGAATACTGTACTGCCATCAAGAAATATCATAAAAGTCTTTCATACGTTAACTAGTAAGTAAATTTGTGATTAAAAACAGGATTTAATGAAAAATATATAGTATACAAAGTAATTTTTAACTTTCATAATATCCAGCCCTGTATTTAAAAATCTTCAAAGAATTTAGATATTGTCTTAAAAAACAACATAATTTTGTTACAATTTAACTTTTATTACAGTATAAAAGATAATTGTTCCACGAAACGTGCCGACTTAACTGACTCCGATACCAACACCCTGAATAATCTGGCAGTGTCGTGCCTTCTTAATCATGCTTTGTGCTCATCTAAGCTGGGGTGGTTTGATAGAGCTATCTCCGATTGTTGTCAAGTAAGTAATTTAATATCTTTTGCTAATAGTGCTCACAGAAGGCTCTGTTAGGAATGTGTAGGTGGATATTAAAATATGACAACAATTATTTCTGAAGATGGGTTACTAAACAGGAGCAGCATAAGAACTGTACTTGAGCTGTATGTAAGTTGAAGAAAAAGCTGTGTTGCAATTAAGAATATCCTCAAAACATTTCACTTACTATTTTTGACCTTTGTGGTAAGTGATTTAAACACTGCACATCATGCAACCTGCCCTCTCTAATAATACATTGCATTTTAACATCAAAATTCCCAATGGACAAAATATAATGTACTATAAATCATAGCAGCTTACAAATACTTACATCTATGCATGGGGTCGATCAGCTGGGTTAGGCTAGGCTCGGGCAATTTAATACATCATTTCTGTGATGTGACAGCTAGAGAGGATGGGCTGTGGAGTGGAGCTATTAAGACAAAAGCTGCTCTACCGTGTACTGGCCAGCCTTTCATCAAGGCCGGACAGTTTTGTTCCTTATGTGTAGAGGGAAGGGAAGGGAACTATCAGGAGGAAATGCTAAGTCACTACGCCTATATAGCACTCGGAATGGATTAGGATAAGGATTGGGCGGGGGAAAGGAATGGTGCCCAACCACTTAGATGGTTGGATATTGAATGCTAATATGCATGAAGTGAGAAACATTGCTCTGCCATCTAACCCAAGTTGTTGGGCTGTATGGTTGATATTGAAAAGTCTTGGGTACAACACAATTGGGCCAGTTATGATTGACGAGAACCTGCATTTCCCTGAAGTAGCTGCTCACTGGCTAAGGCAGAAGCATCAGAGGAGGCCAGTAGATATTCGGCATGTATCCAAAACTAGATACCTGTACTCGTAAATCTTCTCATAAAAAACTGGAGAATAAGTATTTATACGACCCACTATAGACTGGGGTTGCAAGAGAACATAATGCCAAAAAGTAGTCCATTGCCAATTGCAAAAAGTCATTGCATTATAGGCATCTTGTGCAAGACGGCAGATGACGGGTGGTTGTGCGAGGAGGCAGCTCTTCAGGGGTTCATGAAAGAAGGCGACTTGGCCAAAACAGGAGTCTGGTGCCAATAAACTGCATACACCTGAGAGAAAAAAATACAATGCCAACAGGTCAGAGACAACAGGAATGACCATTGAGGTCTAAATATCAAGCCACCCCAAAAATTGAAAACTATTGTGTCTGATACAGAATCAGATGGGGAACCCAGAACAACCTGGTGGATAACACAAAACAAATAAACCCTGTCTGGCTAGCCAGACACAGATGGGCAAGCGTGCCAGGCATGGGAAGCTTCCTTGTGCAGCAAACACTAAACCCCAATATTAAACCACTTGGCAATGGAAGGCCAAAAATTATATATTAAATTACATATAGTACTGCTATATTACAAGGAAATCATGTATGTGAATCTTGCATACACATGGCTAATTTGTAAGGCCTTCCCATGCACTAGGAACAGAGTCGAGCATAATAGGCAAGCATTTAATTTGCATCAGTGTGCATAAGAAAAAAATAAAAAAAAAAACTTACCAACAATGTAGGCTAATGTGGATTGCCAAGTTTTATGCACTGGCTCGAGTAAAGGAGATGCATGGGGAGTTGGCTCAAAGGAGGAAATTTGCAACCTATCAAGCACGCATTCCTGGTGGGATGTTGGAATGCTCGCCCAACCACAGGGAAGATAACTCTGGCCTCAGTCAGAGAGAAATGGCACACAGAATTATGAAGCTGTAACTGAAACAAAGCAGTGGTAGCCCCCGGGAGAATGTTCCAGGGAAAAACTACACCCATTTACCTGAAAATGTGAAGCAGTCAACAGGCCTTACAAAGGAAGGAGGGTAGCTTTTTTTTTTTTTTTTTTTTTTTTTTTTTTTTGAGATATATACAAGAGTTGTTACATTCTTGTACAGCCACTAGTATGCGTAGCGTTTCGGGCAGGTCCCTGGAATACGATCCCCTGCCGCGAAGAATCGTTTTTTCAACCAAGTACACATTTTACTGTTGCGTTAAACAGAGGCTACAGTTAAGGAATTGCGCCCAGTAAATCCTCCCCGGCCAGGATACGAACCCATGACATAGCGCTCGCGGAACGCCAGGCGAGCGAGTAGTGAGTTAATGGTACCAGGTGGAAGAGTAAGTGGCTAGTTGAGATCCTAGGTGACTTAGGCTGCCTGGTGGTGGTAGAGTGCATCGTCATTTGGCCAGTTACCCCAGGGTACCCGTTCTTTACCTTGTGATGTCTTATTTTCTTTAAGTAGATGCTTGTTTTGTTACACTTTTGGAAGCCAAAACTGTCGATAGATTCAGAATGTTATATGGCAGAGTACTGGGAAGACGGAACACCTCGAGCATAACTCTCATCCTGTAACAACAATTGGGTAATTACCTATCATTTTTTGTAGAATTTGGATTAATTCATTCCCCCCAATCTCATCATTACCTGAGAGCAAGCCAGGATTTGGTCATGGGTTTCAGAAGTCTGGCGTGTATAGCTAAGGCTTTGTGATTAACAGAGCTAAGCTACTGATGGTGGGCCAAAAACTATGAAATGCAGAAAATGTTTAAATTTAGAATGGGTCTATAACCAAATTAATCCATGTTGGTAAATTTCAGTTTATTTTCCATTGATAATCCAGGAGTGCTAGTAACTACTCATGTCCAGCAGTGACTGGGAGGCTATACAGTTTATATAACTAAGCATATTTTCTTGCAGGCACTCGAGCTCGATGGTAATAATCCAAAAGCTTATTTCCGTCGTGGTCAAGCATACAATCTGAGCAATGATGCAGTTGCTGCCAAAGCTGACTTAGAAAGGGCACGAGAGCTTGAGCCAAATGACAAGGGCATCTTAAAGGAACTAGATTTAGTTTTAAAAAAGATAAAGGCTCAGAAAGAAAAAGAGAAAAAGATATATGCTAAGCTTTTTCAGTGAATAGAGATTCCAACTATAGTGCAGATCCTTCAACTAATGTGTATGTATAATGTTTTGTACCAGTCTGATGTGTAATAAATTAAAATGAAATTTCTTTAACTTGTCTTCATATAATCCATTTTGTATACAGGATGATATCCAGACCAGTGTGGTGTGCGTTAATTTTAGTACCTTGTTCAAGGCGCATTCCAGGCTATTGCTGATGCCATATTCAGTTTTATTCCCCTTCTACTCCCAAACAAATTTTTGGTATTTTTGAGGGTAAGTAATGATGATCAATCTTTGGGCACATTGAGATACATAAATACGGCTTTTGTAATACTGTGCAATATTCAAATATGATTAACTATTGTACTTGTGTTCCAGATAATCTATGTTCTCATTAATTTCAGTAGAGCAATTTTAAATTCTTTCGTCAGACTTATAGAAATATGAGCCGAGTCCCAGTTTTTGCACCAAATGTCTTCCAGCATCTAAGCTCAGCAGCATGATCTGTCTTCTGTATAAAATAAGCTTTTATCCATGTTAAAATACTGTACCAATCCTCTATCCTAACTGGTTTTGACTGATTACTTGTGCAGGCAGACATCTCCAATAAAATATTGACATTAGTAAAAATTTTACAAAATTTGTTTGTTGATTGAACTGCACATAACCGGAGATGTTTTATGGTACAGTGCAACTTTTGAAACTCCCAGGGTAACACGGCTCGCATGCACTTCCTGTGGCATCCAGTATACAGCTGGTATCTTGGACAAAAATGTGAGTACTCGCCTAGTTATGTTTGTGGGGTTGAACTTTGACTTTTTGGTCCCGCCTCTCAACTGTTAATCAACTGGTGTACAGGTTCCAGAGCCTATTGGGATCTGTCAAATCTACATTTGAAACTGTGTGTGGAGTCAGCCTCCACCACATCACTGCCTAATGCATTCCATTTGTTAGCTACTCTGACTGAAGAAATTCTTTCTAATGTCTCTGTGGCTCATTTGAGTATTAAATTTCCACCTGTATTCCATTGTTCATGTTCCACCCGTGCTAAATAGTTTGTCTTTGTCCACCCTGTCAATTCCCACGAGAATTTGGTAGGTGGTTATCATGTCTTCGTCTTACTCTTCCGTTTTCCAGGGATGTGAGGTTTACCTCCTGTAGCCTTTCCTCATAGCTCAGACCTCTCAAGTTCTGGGACTAATCTGGTGGCATACCTCTGAATCTTCTCTTTGTCTTGTGTTTAACTAGGTATGGACTCCAGGATTGGTATGACATAAGTGGTTTACAAGGTCCTGAATTTATTCCTTACACAAGTTTCTCAAGGCAGTTCTTATGTTGGTTAATCTGGCACATGTTGCTGATGATATCCTTTTGATGTGGGCTTCTGGGGACAGGTTTGGAGTGATATGAACCCCCCAGATCTTTCTCTCTATTTGACTCTTGCTGATTTCACCTCCCAGATGGTACCTTGTGTTTCAGCTTCTTGCTCCCTTTGCCTAATTTCATTACTTGATACTTTGAATTGAACTTTAGTAGCCATTTTCTAGACTATTCCTCCAGTTTGTCCAGGACATCCTGTAGTCTATCTTCATCTGTCTTGATTCTTCTTATAATTTTTGCATCATCAGCAAACATTGAGAGGAATGAGTCTATATCCTCTGGAAGATCGTTTACATGTACTGTATTAGAAACAGGATGGGTCAAAGTACAGAGCCCTGTGGGACTCCGCTGGCAACATCTCGTAACTCTGATGTCTCCCCCTCAGTTACTTGCTGTTTCTTGATGCTTAGATACTCCTTTATCCACTGGAGCACCTTACCTTTTATTTCTGCCTGTTGTTCCAACTTTTGTAACAGCCTTTTATGGGGCACTGTGTCAAATGCTTTTTGACAATCCAAGAAAATGCAGTCTGCCCACCCTTCTCTTTCTTGCCTAATTTTTGTTGCTTGATCATAGAATTCTATTAAGTCTGTGAGGCACGATTTACCATCTCTGAACTGATGCTAGTGGTGTGTTACAAAGCTATTTCCCTCTACATGTTCTACGAGCCTTTTCCTCACGATCTTCTCTTATCACCTTACATGGTATGCAGGTTAGGGAAACAGGTCTATAGTTCAGTGCTTCTTGCCTGTCACCCTTTTTGTATACAGGGACTACATTAGCTGTCTTCCAGCTTTCTGGTAGATCTGTTATCAGCAACTTGTTATACTCCATAGGGAGTGGCACACTTAGTGCTTCTGCACCTTCTTTTAGTATCCATGGTGAGTTCTGTCAGGCCCAACAGCCTTTGTTACATTCAGCTCCAACAGATTCCTTTTGATCTCATCACTGGTGAAGTCAAATTTCTCCAAGGTTGCTTGGTTTGCCGCTGCCTCATTTAGTGCAGGGCTTCTCCTTGTTCTATTGTGAAGACCTAGAATCTCTTGTTGAGTTCTTCACATACCTTGTCATTGTCTGTGCATCTGTTCTTCCCTTTTCTCTGTTTCATCACTTGTTCCTTAACCTGTTGTTTTCCTCATGATGTGGCTGTGGAGCAGTTTTAGTTGGGTCTTTGCTTTACTCGCGATGTCATTTTCATACAGCCACTCTACTCCTCTCCTCACCCTGAGGTGCTCATTCCCTGGTGTTCTGTTGTTCCTGTAGTTTCTCCATGTTCTGGTACTCAATTGCTTCGCTACCTTACATTCTTGATTGAACCATAGGTTCTTCTGTTGCTTTTCATTTTTCTCCTTTTGGGCCAGGATAAACCTGTCTGCAGCTTCCTGGCACTTCTGAGTGACGTAGTCCATCATATCCTGTATAGTCTTTTCTCCAAGTTCTGTTTCCCATGGTATTCCCATTAGGAAGTTTCTCATCTCATCATATTTTCTTCTTCGTTAATTTAGCCTTTTCCCTTCCGATCCCTTCCTCGGATAGGTTATCCCTACCTCCACCAGATACTCGAATGTCAGTACACTGTGGTCTCTCATTCCCATGGGAGTTTTAAATTTGACTTTCCTTATTTCTGACTCATTCGAGGTGAATATCGGGTAGAGTCTAGCTGTTTCGTCATTGCCTCTCATTCTTGTGGGTCCCTTAACATGTTGACTAAGAAAGTTTCTTGTTACCACTACAAGAGTTTAGCTCCATGTATCTGCACCTCCAAGTGGTTCCTCATTCTCCCAGTCTATCTTTCAATGATTGAAATTGGCCATGGTTAAGAGTCTGGATCCATTCCTGCAGGTAGCTGATGCTGCTCTCTCTATTATATTAATGGTTGCCTTGTTGTTCCTATTGAACCTGTCTGGGTGTTCTGACATTTAGTGGAGGGATTGTAAATGACTGCTATTATTTTTTTAGGTTCAACCATAGTCATAGATCCTGTTATGTAGTGTCTGAATCCTTCACAGCCTGGAATTTCCATCTCTTCAAAACTCCAGTCCTTCCTTATCAGCAGGGCCACTCCTCTCCCTTCTCTTTCCTTACTATAGTAGTCCTGTGGAAACACTGTTAGGACACCTGGCAATTTTGTTTCTGCGAGTCCTATTACATCTGGATTTTCTTCCTGCACCCTTTCTGCCAGTTCAGTTGCTTTGTTAGTAATCTCATCGAGGTTTGAGTACATTACCCTGAAACTCGCTTTCCTATATACAATTTCACACACTCCCCACTGTTCTAGGAAACCATTCCATGGTCAGGGCTACTTGGGTAGGCAAATCCTGCTGTGAGGTAGTTACCAGGGGGTTTGGAGGGAGGTGGGGAATGGAGGGCTTAGATTTTGCCCAGGCCTGCTTGGGACAGGAAGTCTAGGGTAGTGTTCCGGGTGGGGGTGCAGGGAGTGCTTGGGGTGGGGTGGGGGGGGGCTCATTCTCCTGTTGTGTAGTTACCAGGGGTTTGGGTGGAGGTAGGGTTGGGGATTGAGGGCTTACATCTTGCCTCTTCCTGCTTGAGGGAAGACGAGCAGGGGATGGGGGAGGCAGAGGGTACTTGATATAAGGGGGGGGGTGATTTGGGTCATATGGTGGGCATTGTGTAGGGGGTTGGGAGGGTTTGTGCTTTGGGTGGGGAGAGGATCCTATGGGGTGGTAGGTTGGGGTGTTGTAGTCCCCTCTGGTGTTCCTGAATTTTTAGATTGAGGTTCTCCACTGGGATTGTTGGGGTGGAGGCTGAGGTTCCCTGGGTACCTTCCCTCTCCTTGCTCCTTTTCCTTGCATCTGCTGCCTGTATTATCTTGTCCCTGGTCATGTCCCTCTGAAGGGAATTCCTCTTCTGTATTTCCTTACATATTTCAGTTTGCTCTTCTTTACTGTGATATCCTTTTTGGTGGCCTCATTCCTGAATACTACCTTGATCAGTCAATTTTTGTCTTTGTTGTACTAGCCAATCTGGGAAATCTTTTCCCATGCCCTTCAGCCCCTTCCATTTGTATTTTTCCCTTTTTTTCACATGTCCCTATTTTATTTTCATTTTATTATATAGTTATTTTTTATATCTAGAACTTTTTTGTAATTGCTCCAAATTGTCATTATTCTAAGAAACTTAGTTTTGTATTTTGTATTTGTTTACACTTTACGTTGCATCATAAAGATGATGGAGAGATGACCCCTAACCTATACTTTTTCTCATGATCATGTTTTTTACTAATAGATTTAAGTACTGTATACCCTTAGTAAGCCATGGATTGTTTAACCTTTTAGTTGTGACTTATTTCATTGTCATTGGACAGTGGGTATTATAGAGGCTCAGTTTTCTGAAGAAATGTTTGCACTGCTAAGTTGATGTTCACTATGTTACCTAATTCAGTCTCCCAGTTGGTATTAGCAGCAGCAGCAATAAAGTTGCTTATAGAAGTTTAATTGTGCAGCCTAAAGCTTATCTTCATTGAATCTAGAAGTGGTTTATTAATATTAGAAGAAATGTAGGGGGGGTAATGGTCTGTGGTCCTATCAGTGATTATCCCTGAAAATGAGTGGAGAGGTTATGTTAGTCCAGATGTGGTCAAGAGCAGAGGCATTCGTGTTAGTAATTCTGGTAGGTTTAGTGATTAAGGGTATGAGCAAGCAGGAATTTATACAGTTGAGGAAACTAGCAGCTTGAGGGTTATCAGGCTCGCAGAGGTCAATATTA